ATAATAATAATAATAATAAAGACCAGCATCTACCAACTCCTCAGCCATGGGGGTAGATTTGCCATCAAGCCTGAGAGAAAAGGCTAAGGCAAAGACGAGGAAAGCCAGCAAGACAGTGAACTCTGTACCACACCTTGCCTTGGAAAAATCACCCAAAAAGTCAACAGGGCCCTCAAGAAGTATCATCTTGGTTTCAGAAACTGAGAAAGAGGGCAGCATATAGGCCCTTGGAACCACTGCGAAGCCTGGGACCATGTCAACAGGCCAGGCTGACCACTCCAGCAAGGACACCTCCAGCTCCAGCAATGAAACAGATGTGGAGGTGAAGTCTTCAGTGAAGGCAGCCCAGGTCAGACCCTCACCTGCCTCCACCAAGGAGTTTCCAGCAAGGAAGGCAGCCATAAGCCCTGGGAAAGTTGGGGGGGGGGTGACAACCCCAGGCCCTCACCCCAGCTAGGAGTGCTGTGAAACCAAAAGAGGACTCAAAAAGCAGCAGAGAGTCCAAGAGTGAGGAGGAGCACCCCCCCATGGGGACCTCCAGCCAGATGAAGGCATCTGAGAAAATCCTCCAGGGGAGAGCTGCCTCAGCCTGTGCCAAGGGGACCCCTGGGAAAGGGGTCATACCAGCACCACCACCACCACCACCACCACCACCCCCCGCCAGGAAAGGAACCGCATGTGCACTCCCTGTGAAGGCAGGTCCAATAGCTGAGCAGGCCAAGCTGAGGCATCCCAAGCAGGACTCAGAGAACAGCAGCAAGGAGGAACCTAACAGTGAGGTGGAGACACTGGTGGCTGTGCTGGCACTTCAGGCAAATCCCAAAGGAAAGAACCCCCAAGTCAGAACTGCCTCAGCCCTTGCCAAGCAACCTCACAGAAAGGGTACTCCTGCAGCACTCCCTAGGAAGACAGGGCCTACAGCCATGCAGGCCCAAGTGGGGAAGCAGGAGGATGACTCGAACAGCAGCAGCAGCAGCAAGGAGTCAGTCAGTGATGGGGAGACACCAGCATCCCAGACCCCAAACACAAAGATCACCCAGCTGAAACCCTTGGGAAAGACTTCTCAGGTCAGAGCTGCCTCAGCCCCTGCCAAGGAGTCCCCTAGGAAAGGCATCCCTCTAGCACCCCCTAGAAAGACAGGGCCTGCAGCCACCCAGGCCCATGTAGGGAAGCAGGAGGAGGACTCAGAGAGCAGCAGCAGCAGCAAGGAGTCAGACAGTGATGGGGAGACACCAGCACCCCGGAACCCAAACAAAAACCCCACCCAGCTGAAACCCTTGGGAAAGACCCCTCAGGTCAGTCCTGCCTTGGGTCCCACCCAGGGGCCACTGGGGAAAAAAGCTACCCCTATACCTCCTCACAAGGCAGCACCTGTGGCCATTTAGGTCAGTGCTGAAAGATCCCAGGAAGACTCAGACAGCCATGAGGAATCATCTGACAGTGGGGAGGAGGCAGCAGCAGCTATGACTGCAGCTCAGGCAAAACCAGGTCTGAAAATGCCTCAGACCAAGGCTTCCCCCAGGAAAGGAACCCTCCTCACCTCCACATCTGCCAAGGGCCCCCCATCGCAAATGGGCACCCCAGCCCCTTGGAAAGCAGGCACAGTGACTTCTACAAGAGACTCAGCTGTGCCTCAGGGCATCCAGAGGTCAGAGAGTGATTCTTTGATCAGTGAGGAAAAATCAGAGGGTGAAGAGGCCATGCCTGCAGCAACAGTGGCACAGACAAAGTCTCTGGGGAAAGGACTCCAATGGCAAGCTGCCTCAGTACCCACCAAGGGACCCTCAGAGCAAGGGACTGTCCCAGTTCCTCCTGAGAAGACAAGGCCCACTGTTGCCCATGTCGGAGCTGAGGCTCCTGAAAGATCTGAGCGCAGTGAGGAGGACTCTGATGACAGTGAGGTGGCAGCAGTCCTGACCCCATCACAGATGAAAGCCTCAGGGAAAACCCCTCAGGCCAAAGCCAACTCAGCTTCCACCAAGGCATCTATAGTCAAAAGGGCAGCATCAATTCCTGGAAAACTGGTCACTCCCATTGCTGAAGGCAAACCAGGGCCCATGGCCAAGGGGAAGCCGCCAGTGAGAGCCCTCCAGAACAGTGCCATCTCAGCAAAGGGCCAGGCATCTATGCCAGCTATAGAGAAAGCAGTGACTGCAGCAGCCAAGACTGAGAAGGACTCAGAAAGCAGAGATGAGTCCTCAGAGAGCAAAGAGGAGGTACCAACCCAGGCTTTCTCCTCACTCTCTCTCTCAAGGCAAAGCCCACAGGGAAGACCCCCTCAGGTCAGAACTGCCTTAGCCCTCACCAAGCAGTCCCCCAGGAAGGGCACCCCTCCAGAATTCCCTGTGAAGACAGGGCCTGCAGTCACCCAGGCCCAGGTGGGGAAGCAGGAGGACTCAGACAGCAGCAGCAGCAAGGAGTCAGACAGTGATGGGGAGACACCAGCATCCTGGACCCCAAACACAAACCCCACCCAGCTGAAGCCCTTGGGAAAGCCCCTCAGGTCAGAGCTGCCTCAGCCCCTACCAAGGAGTCCCCCAGGATAGGGACCCTTCTAGCACCCCCTGGGAAGACAGTGCATGCAGCCACGCAGGCCCAGATGGGGAAGCAGGAGGAGGACTCAGAGAGCAGAAGCAGTGAGGAGTCGGGTGGTGATGAGGAGACACAGACAGTGGGGACCACAGCCCAGAAGAATATTACCTCAAAAATTGCTAAGAGCAATGCCCTAACCCCAGCTCCCCCAGAGAAGAACCCCAAGGGATCCTCAGAGAGCAGTGATGAGAGCTGCCCTCTGGTGATTAAACCCCCTCTGATTTTTGTCTACCCTAATTGTAGTCCGGTGGTCCTGGCTGTGACCCTTGCACAAGTGCAAGCTGCAGGTGTCCCAAGAAAGTCCAGGGCCTCTAGCAGCACTGCTGGGAGTGCCTCTAAGAGTGAGGACAAGGACCTGATCCCCACCACACAGTCCTGCACACCTGCTGTCCCCCACAAGGACATCCCCCAGAGCCAGCATCAGTGAGTAGACCAGCCAGGCATCAGAAGGCAAGAAACAGGAGGCAGCAGTCTCTCAGGTGACTAGGAAGAACCCAGCTTCCCTGCCATTGACTCAGGCTGCCCTGAAGGTCCTGACTCGGAAAACTGATGAGACTCAGCTTTCAAGTGAGGCTGGCAGTACTACAGGAATGCTGCCTTTCACACATCCCCAGAGCACCCCTGTCCAGGCCAGAGTGGCCAACACACTCAAACAAGCCAAGCATCCTGAAGGTCAGCAGAACACAGCCACTTTCTCAGGCCACCCTAAAGCCAAAGCCTCTAGAAGCTCAGATGACAGTGAGGACAGCAGTGACAACTCTTCAGGGAGTGAGGAGGATGCTAAGGGACCTCAGATGGCCAAATCAGCATATAGGACCCTCTCTAAGAGGGAGATCTTGGTGAAGGAGACCACAGCAGAGTCCAGCGAGGATGAGGTGGTGGCACCTTCTCAGTCTCTCCTCTCAGGTTATGTGACACCTGGGCTGACCTCAGCCAATAACCAGGCTTCAAAAACTACTGCCAGGCAAGAATCAAACCCTGAAGTTTTCTCTGCTTCACCCACCAAAGATGGCCTAGCCAGCAAGCAAGCAGCAAACTCAAAGCACATAGGAGGCACCGGGTCCCTTAAATCAGGTGGGAAAGAACCTGCCTCAGGCCCCACACCTCAGAAGTCCCAGAAGCCCAAGAAGGCCATGAGCACCAAAGCCTCCCTGCAGACACTATGGAGCAGCATCACCAAGCACCTCCTGGGCCAATCCTGGCCCCTGAATGAGGCATAGGTTCAGGCCTCAGTGCTGAAGGTTCTGACTGAGTTGCTGGGGCAGGAAAGGCAGAAAGCCAGATACCACCAGGGAGAGCAGCAAGAAGGGCTGGAAGCAGAAGCTGTAGGGAGACCAAATGGGCTCCAGGGCTCCCAAGGGCAAGAAGAAAAACCAGCTGGCCTCTGGGAAAGGCAAGGATTGTGCTGCTTCCTCTGAAAAGTCCTCAAGGACTTCCAAGGGGAAAACAAAGACAGACAAAGCAAGTGGTAACATCAAGGAGAAGGGTCCTCCTGGCTCTGGAGGGGCCAAGGCCAAGTCTGAAGGGGCACTTCTGAAGGTAGAGGGTGGAGATCAGAATGACCCAAAGAGCAAGAAAAGAAGAAGAAATCCAATAAGAAAAAAATAATAAGACAAGGACAAAAGGAAAAAAAGAAAAAGAAAAGAAAAGAAGAAAGGAAAAAAGGCCTCTGCCAAAGACTGTGATTCACCATTCCAAAAGAAAAAGAAAAAGAAGGCAGAGCTAATGACAGTGTGAGGAGACCAAGAACCAGGTGCAGGATCTTATTAGTGGAATGGTGACCATCCCAGGCCTCAGCCTTCTGACTTCCATGGGTCAGGACTGAATTCAGAATTTGCCTTCCCTTCACAGAAGACAGCAGTGAGCCTCAGGGTCCTGGCACTGGCCAGGTGGTGGGTCAGTCATAGGGGCATGGCTCTGCCCTGGGCCCTCCCCCAACCTTCCCTTGCCATGGGGACTTCATAGACATGTGTACAGTATACCTATTTTTTTAAGTGACCAGCCTCCCTCCTTCACAGCCAACACACCCCAGGACCACAGACCTCCCACTGCTGTGCTCTGCAGGCACAGCTGTTGCTTGCCACATGGACTTCAGCTGATCCTAAGGCTTTGTCCTCACCTGAGAACTCAAAAATAAAAGAGTTAAAGGACAAACAACAAATGAATACCTATAATGAAAGAATAACTGCCTCCAAAGAAGACAATTATAAAAAAAATAGAGAATAGAAAAATGATAGAATCCTTGAATGAGCAATATAGGAAAGAAATAGATCACATGAAGCAGAGGCAAAGAGATTATAGAGGAAAAAAAATAAAAATTAAAAAAGAGATTATAGAGGAACTTAAAATCTCAATCACAAGCTTGAGAAGCCATCTGAGTGAAAGTGAAGATAGAGTTTCATATCTTGAAGACACTATTGCAGCTAGTAAAAAGGAAAGAAAAGATCTCTTAAAAACAACTAGAATGCATGGAAAAGTAAATCATCACCTACAATACAATGCAAAGATGAATAACGTGAGGTGAATAGGCATCAATGAGAAAGAAGGAGTCAACACAAATGACATAAAAAAAAATATGGGCAGAAGTAATAACTGAAAACTTCCCAAATATGGGGAAACAATCTGGCAATCAGGAAACTGAAGCAAGTAGAACTCGAAATAATATCAACCCAATTAAAAACACACACAGACATATAATAGTCCAGAAATCCAACACAAGAATATTATACTAAAAGCCACCACAAAAGAAACAGACCACATTTAAAGGAAAACCTATCAGAATAACAGCAGACTTCTCTTCACAAGCCATTAAGTTAAGAAAAGCATGGAGCAGAGTACTCCAAGTCTTCTATGAATCAAAGTCCAGCCCAGACTACTATATCCTGAAAAACTCTCTTTCAAGTTTGATGGAGAAGTGAAATACATCCATGAAAAAGAACAATTAAAGAATTTCATGATGACAAAGCCAACCCTACACACACTACTAAAAGATGTTCTAGAGAGGGTCCAAAATGACCAAAACTCCATGAATGAGAACAGAAAGAACCAAACAACTAGGACAAACAATTAAGCACAGGTGAAAAAAAGGGTAAACAACAGCAGGTAAACAACATGTTAATCATAAGTAAATACATCTCAACTATAACCACAAATATAAACTGACTCAATTCGCCACTTAAAAAAAAATAGGCACAATGGATTAGGAAGCAAAATCCAACAATATGCTATACAAAAGAAATACATTTCACTCATAAAGCAATTCATCGCTGAAAATCAAAGGATGGAAGACAATACTACATGACCAGTACCTCACAAAAAAGCAGGGGCAGCAATCCTGTTTGGTGACATTCTCAACTTCAAACCAAGAATGATCAAAAGAAATAAAGAAGGCCATTATAAGCTGGTCAGGGGAAAAATTCAAGAGGAAGAGATAACACTCATAAATACAGATGCACCAAACATGGGAGCACCCAATAACACAAATCTTAATGGACATGAAAAATTTAATCCAATATCACAATCTTAACAGGAGACCTTAATAACCCCTTATCCCAAAAAGAGAGGTCAACCAGACAAAATCTTATCCAAGAAGTAGCAGAACTGAACCACAGCTTGGAACAAATGGACTTACTGGATATATACAGATGTTCCACTGAAACGTAGCTGAATAAACATTTTTTTCAGGTGCACATGGGTCATAATGTAAAACAGACTACATACTAGTCCAAGGTCATGCTTAAGTATATGCAAAAAAACAGAAATTTTACTCTGAATATTATCTGACCACAGTGCAATCAAACTGGAAATAAATGACAAAAGAAAACACAAAAATCCCATAAATACATGAAAATTAAACGATTCCCTCCTCAGGAAAAATGGGTCATAGATGAAATTAAACAAGAAATTGAACAATAGGTACAATACAGTGAAAACTCAAACAAACATTATCAAAATTTATGGGATGCGATGAAAGCAGTTCTTAGAAGGAATTTTATAGCTGTGAACTCAAATATTAAGAAAACAAAATGAGAACATATAAAAACCCTAATTCTGCACCTCAAACACCTAGAAAAGGAAGAGAAAACCAAACCCAAACCCTACAACATGAAAAAATCATAAAGATTAAAGCAGAAATTAACTCAATCAAGAAGAAGAAAACAATTCAAAAAATTAACGAACCAAAATGCTGGTTATTTGAATGATTAAATAAAATTGATAAGCCCCTAACCTCATCAAAAAGAGGAAAGAAAAAATTCAAATACAAGCAATATAAGGAATGAAAAGGGTGTAATCACCACAGATCCAGTAGAAATTCACAAGATTTTAAATACCTACTTTGAGAATCTTTACTCTCACAGAATAGAAGACACAGACGAAATGCACATATCCCTACAAAGGTACAAATTACCAAAACTGAATCAAGAAGATATAACAGGTCTCAATAACCCAATAACAGCCAATAAAATATGAAATGCAATAAAAAGCCTGCTGACAAAGAAAAGTCCAGGTCTTTATGGATTCACAGCTGAATTCTACAAGAAATTTACAGAAGATATAGTCCCTATAATCCTCAAATCCCTCAATGAAATAAAAAGGAAATAGTTCTCCCAAAATCATTCCTGGAAACAAGTATTATACTGGTACAAAAACCAGGGAAAGCAACAAGTAAAAAAGAAACCTACAGGCCAATCTCCCTCATGAACATAGATGCCAAAATCCTAAAAAAAAAATCCTAGCAAATAGAATATAGCAAATCATCATTAGGATCATACAACATGACCAGGTAGGATTCATCCCAGGGATGCAAGGATGGCTCAATATTTGAAAATCTATAAATGTAATACACTATAACAATAGAGTGAAATTTTAAAACCACATGATCATCACCATTAATGCAGAAAAGGCTTTTGACAAAGTCCAACACTCATTCATGTTCAAAGTCCTACAGAAAATTGGATTAGATGGCCTGTACTTCAATCTGGTAAAAGCCATTTATGAAAATCCAATGGCTAACATAATTCTAAATGGGAAAAAACTGGAATCTTTTACTCTTAGATCTGGTACAAGACAAGGATAACCTCTATCACCACTCCTATTCAATATAGTTCTGGAATCATTGGCTAGAGCCATTAGACAACAGAAAGAAATAAAAGGAATAAGAATAGGTAAAGAAGAAGTTAAATGATCATTATTTGCAGATGACATGATACTTTCCTTGAAAGACCCAGAAAACTCCATGAAGAAGCTACTAGAATTAATACAAAAATTCATTAGCACAGCAGGATACAAAGTCAATACCCAAAAGTTAATAGCATTCCTTTACACAGATAACAAACACACTGAGAGGGAAATTAGAGAAACAATGCCTTTTACAATAGCACTGAGGAAAATGAAATTAATCTAACTAAAGAATTAATCTAACTAAAAAAGTCAAAGATCTTTTCAAGGAAAATTACAGTACTCTTAGAAAAGAGTTCGTACAGGATTTCAGAAAATGGAAAGATATTCCATGCTCCTGGATAGGAAGAACCAATATTTTTTTTTATTTATTTATTTATTTATGTGTGTGTGTGTGTGTGTGTGTGTGTGTGGCCAGCTCAGCCCACCAGGGGGCGGGGCTGGCTGGCATGTGGTGCTGGGGGATTG